CCCCCCCAGCGTCTCCGCAGGGGCGCACTGACCTTGTAGCCCAGGACCTCGGACTCGTTGACCAGCGGCTGGACGGGCTCCCAGCCCAGAGAGAGCTGAGAGCCCTGCTGCTCCCACCGCAGGTTGCCAGGCGCTTGGCTGGGCGCTGCGGAGGAAGCGAAGGGCGTGAGCGGCCGCGCCCCGCCACGCGGCGACCCCGACCGCGGCCCCCTAACAGCGCCTCTGCCGGGCGCTGACCCCACCCTCTGATCTCGGGGTGGGACCCCGGCCTGTCCGCGGGTGCCGACCTTCATCTGCTGTGAGCGCGGGTTTCTCTCCTTGGAACAGCCCTCAGCCTGAGGAAAGGCCCAGCCTGGCCCCGCCGCCCCGCTGTCCGCCCGTCCGCCCGTCCGCCCGTCCGCCCGTCCGCCCGTCCGCCCGTCCGCCGCGCTCAGAAGTTCAGAAACCGAAGCGCTGCGCGTCCGGTACCAGCACCCGCGCCACTCACGGGCCTTCTCGGTGGTGGCGCTCACTGGGCCGCTGGCCGGCCCGTAGCCGGCCCCGTTGAAGGCCCTCACGGTCACGTGGTACAGAGTATTCCCGTCCAGGCCCGTCAGGACCACCGACGACTCGTTGCCCCTCGTTTTGACCGTCTCGGCGGCGTCTTCTTGGTCCTTCCAGTAGCCCACCTGTGGACACATCCGCGGCAGTGAGGCTCTTCTGCTTTCTCCTGGGCTCACCGCGGTCGCGGACACACCGGGTCCACACTGCGCCCGGGGCTCCCTCCCCTCAGAGCTGCCCACGGAGCGCGCCGGCCGTCCGCAGAGGAGAGGCCGACTGCGGCCCCGCGCCTGAGGCAGCAGCCCCGAGGGCTGAAATTCCCGGCGCCCGGCCCGCGTGGGCTGCCCTCGTGGGCTGCCCGCGCCCCCTTCCGGCCAGCGGTGGACACGCAGCAGGCGGGCAGGTGCCACACGCAGGTGGGTCCGCGGGGGACGGCGGGGCGGAGGGGCGCGGGCAGGCCGGGGTCCCCTGCGTGGCTGGGCCTGGCTTTGCCCCTCAGTCATTCCCGGGAGGTCGGGGCGCCGGGTCTGTTGTTCGCTCGTCACCTTTGTTCGTCAGGTAAAGCCTAGAACACGACTTTCCGGGCTTTAAGTCGCGAGAGCAACTCAGGTCTTTGCGCTGAACCCTGCTGGCTCCGCCCACACCGGTCTCGGATTTACATGCTTTGAAAAGTTAGTTTCATGAGCACAGTCGTCTTTTTCATCCCTGTCTCTTCTTTGTCAGATTTGCTGACACTAGCTGACAGGCTGAACTTTGGGAATCTGGTTTTTAGCTTTTTAAAAAGGTTTATTTTATTTATGTACGCACACAAGAACCGTGGTGTTGGCCAGAGGTGTGGGGGTGAGGACGCCCCAGAGACGGAGCGGGGAGCAGAGTGGGTCTGCGGAGACGCGCTGCTGAGGGGCGCAGGGAGACAGGAGGGGCCTGCTGCGCCTGGAGCCCCTCTGGCCGGTCGGCCGCGCGCTGCAGCGGCTGGTGATAGCCTGATCCTGCGCCACGCAGCCCCTGTGCCACCAGGGAGGCCCTGAGCTGGGGCTTGTGACGCACTCTGTTGCTGGCCTTGGCCATCGCCGTTCCTGAGAGCTGGGTCATGTTGCCTGGCGCCCTGGCATATTTTCACATGCAGAAATCTAAGATATTTCAAGCTACGGAGCAGACCACGAAGTCACTGGCCGCCTAACACTACCCAGTGATGCATCTGCTCTCTGGTTCGGTTCAATTTTCTTTAATTGGTTATATTATTTTAAAATAATTGAATATATATTTTGAGGGAGTTGAACGTGATTAACCTAAACCAATTACAGATTTCTATACAATACAGATTTCAATATAAATTCTGGACTTCTAAATATTGAATGGGTAATGTTCTGACTCATCAGCACACGAGTAAGCTTCCTAAGTAAAATATAAAATATATTTCCTAAGGAACTGATTATCAGAAAAACAAATTCTAGCTGCACCAACTACTGCCCAGAGGGAAATCTTAAGAATCCACACGTCATTTCTCTTCCTAGCCTGTAAAAATTAAGAACAGAAAAAGCTATTATTTCACAGTGAAGTAAAAATTATTAGCCTTTCTTTATGTGGGAGGTGATAAAACAGGCAAACAAAAGCCTGACCTTAGCATAATCATTCTTTAAATTGGAACTGAGGAAACACGGTGTTCACGAGAACACAGCCCTTCCCAAACTGAAACCTCTTCACGCCGTTTTTCTCTCAAAGACTCATCAGCCCGTAAACTGAACTCCCGGGAGGATCACCTGGAATGAGGCTGGACACTCGGGGGACGCAGAGACTCAGCCTGGAACCTCCCCGCTGCCTGTCTGTCCCTCCCTGAACTTTTCTTCTATCTATTCAACACAATTGTGTATCTTTACAGGCACATCCTACTTTTATTCCCTAACAGAAGAGTGACACAGTTTTTCGCTAACGCGCGATTGCGTGCCGGTGACGCCTGGTTCTGGTCGGGGCAGCTGGTGGCTTCCGGCTTTCCCCCTTCTGACAAAATGCTGCCCTGCACATCCTCGTCTGTGCCCACGCATGGACTCTGTCCCTGAAATGGAGTCCACGAAATTACAGGGTGCACATTTATAAGATACTTTGTGTTTTTGATAAAAAGAGACATCTGGATTTTCAGGTCGCATTTAACAAGTGTCACTTGCACAAAGGTGCCCCGAGGCAGCGTCCCGTGAGGCTGCAGTGGCAGTGCCCAGCCTGCTTCCTTCTGGTCCCTGCAGGCGGCCGTCTCTGAGGAGCAGCTCGCCCGCCCGCCAGCTCTGCCCTTTCCAGGAGGAGCCAGACTGGCACGTAGCTCATTGTCGACGCCTCTTCTAGAGGACTGACTCCCCTCTTCACGACGACGTAGCATCTGCTGCTTCCTGAGCGCTCGGCTTTCTTCGGCCACTTGCACATCGACTGGCTTCTTGTGTTGCTCCCTATTGTTTTGATCTGTGACGACGATTTTGCATCTCAACATCCCTTTCATTTAAGGTCATCAATTGGGAGACGCAGAAAGCGTGCCGCAGAAGAGACGTGACCCTGGATGTCCAAGACGGCGCCTCTCTGGGGGGCTCAGGCCTCAGTCGACACCCCTTTTCCCAAAGTTGGTTCTCCAAGGATACAGTCGCTGGCTGCAGACAGGACGCCGCGTGTCGGGGCCGTGACTCCCAGACCTCACGTCGCACGCCTGGGCTCGGCGGGAGGAGTCACAGGGTCTCGGCCCGTTTGCCGCAGTCAGGGCGGGGCGGGCTGAGCACAGCTCCTGTCCTCGTGCAGCAGGCCCGGCCGGCGCCGAGGCGTTCTCCCGGCAGCCCACCGCCCGCTTGACCTTCGTTTCCTCTCCGAGTACAAAAGTGCATCTTTCCTCGGCTCCTTATTCGCTGATGCTGCGTCTGCCGGCTCCCAGGTACACCGCCCGCCCGGTGGGGCCCACGCTGACCTGAACAGACTGGGCGCCATTTCCCGCTGCTATATAACGTCGCAAAAGGTCAGTCTGGTGTTTGTACCTTCGAAAGTTACTTATTCTGTCTGTTGGGGAGCTCAGGCGCTCTGGACTTGCTTTCTGGAGTGAGAATCCATATTAAGATGTGGGCATTTTACCAGGCCGTGAGATCGTAAACATTATTAATTAAATCATTCTTTCAAACATTTTTCAAAACGTGCATTATTTACCAAGCACTGTGGCTTCTTCCGGCGAGAGGGGTGACGGCCGGACGGGGGTCAAAGGCCGTCCTAGGAGCCGGCGAGCAGAGCGGCCTGGGCGCGGCAGCATTCAGCCATGGACGCGAGACCCCCACGTGCTCACGCGAGGATGAGCGCGGGGCAGGTCCTGGCCCGGCTGGTCCGGCCGTGGCCAGCGCCGCGGGGGCGGGGGTGAGGTGTGGGGCCGGAGACGGGCCTCTCTCGACTTCCCGCTGGTTTTGCTGCGAACTTAAACGGCTGTTTCCCGTCTGCTAACGAAGAAACAGCGGTGAGCGCAACTTGCTGAAAGGCCCCAAACCGTCGCCCGGGCGGCTCTGAGGCAGCGTGTGCGGGCCTGTCCCTCTGAGCCAGGCGGTGTGGACGGAGGCCCGCAGGGGGCCGGCAGCCTGGCCTGGAGGCTGGGGGGGTCTCGGTCAGGGGCGGGGACAGCCACAGCCAGACGGGCAGCTGGCCGCGGACGGTGACCAGACGGTCACTTAGGAGACTCACACCGCGCGGGTCCTTTGGAGACTTATTTACTTATGCACTCAGCACTGGGGTGCAGGCCAGAGCGTGGTGGGCGAGGGGATCCGGAGACACCGTGGGGAGCAGGGCAGGTGGGTCCGCAAAGTCCTCTGCTGAGGGAGCAGCGGGGAGCGGGGCCTCTGCCGCGCCCTGGCCGTGCCCTGCCGGGATCGAGTGGTGCCGCGGGCGCCCTGGAGAGGCCACAGTGGGTGTTTAACCCGCTGCGCCGCAGGGAGGCCCCGATTTTTTCTTTTTAAAGTACAGAAGTCGCGCGACCCCGTTTGGAGGAGCCCCCCGCCCCCCAATAAGCCCAGCGCCCGCCCTGGCTCCCGGCGGCGCTGATGGCCTCTGGGCACTGGGGCCACACTGCACCCCGTCTCCGGCTCGGCCCTTCCAGGGCCAGGGCGGCGCCTCTCGCCCAGCGCTGGGGGCTGCCAACAGTGCCCGCGGGCGCGCCTCTCCCCGCAGCCTGCCACACGGCTGCCTCCTGCCCTCGGCCGGCTGAGCTGAGAAGCCTCCGCCCGCCCGCCTCCGCCACTCAGCCCTCTGTGAGCCTGAGCGCTCCCATTCTTCTCCCTCCCAAGAGCGACCCCCTGGGGAACGGCCCCAGCGCCCCGTGTCACCTCGGCGGGCGCGGGCCCTGTCTGAGGGGAGGGCTGCAGGCGCGGCGGGACCCAGCAGCCAGCCGCGGCCTGGGCCGTGTGGAGGACAGACAGGGAGTTGTGGGGTGCAGGAGCCACTTTGTGGTAGTGGGGTGTCTCGGGCTGGCAAGGGGCGAGTTGTTAGGGCTTTAATATTTCCCGAAACACGACAGGGTCTCCCTGCCTTACCTGGGGTCTTGGGGTTCCTCTGCTTCCCACCGTCGCTGTCATTGCTGCTCCCTTTGTCGTCACCCCGCTGTGCTGTGTTGGCGGAAGCCCAGGGCGCACGGAGGCGTCTCCCTGGGCTCCTCACGGCGTCTCGCCTCTCCCCTGCAGACACCTTCCTGCCCCGTTTGCTTGGCTTCCCGGGTTGCTGCTCGGGTTTGTACTCGGAAGCGCTGATTTAAATTTCAGTAGTATCAGAAGGTGCATTTCATTGCTTCTAATGAATATTTTATCTTAGTTACTTTAGTTTTCATTTTCTGGCTTTCTCTTCACATTCTGGATTGCTCTTTCAATATAGATGTAAAAGAGAATTTTTTTTTTTTACTTCTCTTTGCGATCCAGGACTATATGTTTAAAACTTCTCTGTTGGTTTACAAGAAGATCTTCTGTAGGGAAAGAAGCCCATTCTGAGCCTTATCTTCTTCTAGAGATTTTTCGTCCGTCACTCGTTTTCTTCTTTACAGAGTTTTCCCGTGTGGTCATCCTGAGATTTGACCTGACCGCTCTCATTGGCTCCTCTACAATGAACCCAACGTCACTTGCACGTGGACGGGCTT